CATTATACTCATCAGTTTTCATGTTTTTATGACAGTTTTAGGGAGATGCTAGCCAGCCCTCGAAAGGTCCCAGTTTCAATTTACCGAGATTTCTCCTCTTAGTGAGGAATGTTAGGTGATTTTTTTTACAGTGCACTAGAGTGAATGTTAGGTGATTTTTTTTACAGTGCACTAGAGTTAATGGAACTAAGCTTTTACTATACCCTTCAACTCTTAAGGACTATCAGAATTCTTTTTTATAGATTATACGGGTGCACATTACATACAAATCAAGCTTAAGCAGTCTGAACTCAGCTTACCTAGCGTCTGCATTTTATTATATCAAGAAAATAACCACAAAATTAATTTGAAAAAAAATAATTCTTATTGGCGGTGTACCAATTTTGATTTATTCTTTAAATCCGTTTTTATGACAGAAAAATTACTATGAAGGTAATCCTTTAAAACATTAAATTTGACTTATGTAATTTAATTGGCAGTAACATTACTTTTGATTGACCCTTCAAATCCAAATTTTTTAGTATAAATACAACGAAGCTTTACGTGTGCATATTTTTTTTTAAAATATTTTGTAACCTTTTATTAATATTTATGCAGCTTTACTGGCTTTCTAAACTCCAAATAATTTCACGTTTTTATCAGTCTACCTCAAGGTTTGGAGAGTATATGTTACTTATCTCTAAACCACTGCATCAACGGTTTGGTGGTTTTCGACTTAGTTTGTATCAACATTATGTATAGCTATGCATAGGTTAGATAAGAAACTAGAAAGGGATAAACTCTGGCAGACGTGTAAGGGATCTTTGTTTTTATTTGAAATTATAATAATTTTAAACCATGAGTGAAATTTTTAGTAGTTTTAAAGTATTTTTAAGTTTTTTCCCCATAAATACATATATATATTTAAAAAGGTAATACGCAATAAATACAAACACTGTTAGATAAGAGAGAAATTACATACGCAACCGCCAAAAATTTAAAAGGAAAGCAGTGTTGGTTGGAAATTTGAACCCACAACATCGAGAAATGCGCGTCAATGCTCTTATTCGCTGAGCTACGACGATAACTCTTAATTCCCCTTTGAAGAATTATCGTATTTAACTTGTTAAACACTACTAAAAAAAATTTCATATCTGGTTAAATACTAAAAAAGAGCCCTTCTAATGACTCCTCTGCCATACTAACGCGCAAAGGTAATCGGTGCGTACGTTAATGAGGAAAAAACCGATATGTTAGACAGTTATTTTTGGAAGAACATGGTTTTTTGCTCTGTCGCCTACTTACTGCCAAAAACACTTCAGGTCTAAATGACACAATTTCTGAGGTGGTTAATAAAGAGGAGATTGACTTTACAATCCCATTAGCTAATTCTGTGAAGGTGAAAGATATACAAGTAATTGTTCGACTAAAATTATTAAAGACTATTGATCAAGACAAAATCTCCAACACAATGCTGAAACACCTAACTATACCAGCCACGCCAAACCTTAAGGGCCGTATTATTCAACCCAGGTGCCCTGATCGAGGGAAAAATGCGGACTTAATTTTTTTTATATCAATATAAAATACGCACCTTTCAATTAAATAATTACCGTCCATTTAGCCTTCTAGCTTGTATAAGATGGTGAAGAAGCTGTTTTACTAACAAGACTTCGGCAAGAAGTTGACAAGTTTAACGCCATGTCGTATTCCAATTTTGCTTTCGTAAAGTACCCTCTATTATGCAATAACTTGTACATCTAGCGGGACAACGTAATAAAAAGCTTTAACAAAATAAGTTTGGGAAGATATGTGTGGATATTGTAAAGGCATTCGATAGGGTTTGGTACAAGGTCGCTTTTTTATAGGAAAAAGTTAGAAATATCGCCTCACTTAGCTTCATCATAGACAACAGACTATTTTGTCACAATAATATTGAATATGACAAGAAAAAGGATATAGAGATTAATTTATAATATTCACTTATCTGCCAGGTAATCCGTCCCTCTAAGTAAACAAGCTTCACTTCTATCTCAAAACTTTTAGGCCAAAGATTGCCTACGCATCTGCGACGTGGTCTTATTGTTTCCCCTTCCCACCTTGCCATTATTCTGCCAGCTTCCAGGTTATATAAAATCCTATTCTGAGAAATGTTGAAGCCCCACCCATCTTTTTTATCCGAGCAGAGAGAATTATTGAAATTTTTTAGTACGTTTGAATCCTGCTTATTTAAAAAGTTACTTACGATACAAGTTTTATACAAGAACTACAGGAAATCTGGACATCAATTTAATTACGCCTGCTGCTCCGGTGAGCACTAGAGTAATCTGAACCACTCTATCATTCATATACCTGACTCTGACTCTTGTCCGCACTTTTTTAAAGGTGAGGTATCAACATATAACTTAAAAAATGAATAAACCTACTAATATTTACATTAAGAATAAACTCTAACAATTCTGTTTATGCTAATCTTTTTAATAGTGGTACTTAATTACTCCCCATAGTATAGGGACTCAATTTAAACTCTTGTGAAAACATTGAAGGCGAATAGAACACAATTTTAAAACTCAGCGAGATTCCTGTTGCATAAGGTAGTTTTCAAAATGGAAAAAATAAAGGTAATGCCTCATTATAACTTTGGATTATCAGTTTTACACACTTCTCATAGCATTGAAACTGTGGCAGAGCACTTGAAAAATACAAATATAAACATATTAAAGACAAGTTACTTAAAAAATTCTTATCCTCATATTCAACCCTGCACAAACGAACTTTAACGAAACTTATACATAAAAAAAAAAATTGAAAAAAAAGGTAGACAAAAAAAAAAGGCTAGTCGAATTTCGCTTTGCCTATAATATCTAGTTGCCTTCATAAAGTAAGAGTATTTTCTTTTAATGGACTTCAATATTTCAACAGCGAAACGCTTAGATAATTTATATATGTAGTTGCAATTTTGCCTTAACTAAAGAGAAATAAATTGTGAATTACTTAATGACACCATTCACGTATGTGTAGGAGTTTTTGCAAAGAGAACTGAAGCTTTAAAATATTTATTTACCTCCCCTCCCAAGAAATCTCTGTAGTCCATGCTTAATAAACGTACCATGCAAACCCTTTGTAATATATGGTCAGGTGTTTTCTAAAACAGCCCTCCTTACCACATAGATTCGAAATAAGGCAAGGCGTGATTAATTTTGATACCTCGTAATTAAAACAAAGATCAAAAATAATTGTTACTTAGTTGTTATTTAATATGATTCCGGGTGCAAAAGGAAACCATAAGGTAGAGCGCGCGAAAGTTTAACCTTTTAAACCAACGGGCTCCATATAGGATAAATATTACATATAGAACATAGAGAAAATTTTTTGCTTAAGGGATATAATTAGTTAGGATAAGCATACTTTAGTTTAGTAATAAAAAGATTGATATATAAAAACTAATATAATTATAAAAACTTTCATTAAGAAATAGTACTGACTCCTCACATTAGCAGACTAAATTCCTTCTAACAACACTTACAAACACCATTCCAATGATTTATTATATGCGATAACGTAGATAAACAATACTGTGATTAATACCATAATATTAAAAAAAATTGACCAATTTATCAACCTTCTATAACGCAATGACTTTTTATTAATAGCTGGCGTTTTTGGGTGCTAGATGGAGTTTTCAATTTCAAACACTTGAGCTTAAAAAGGTTCAGTCGGTCACAAATACAAGTAAATTATTACTATAATATCTAAGATAATCTTACTTTTCTACACTCCCTACAAAGTTCATAGAACGACGTGGGCTTACCCCTAAATGGATTATAAGCCTACTTATAACAGTATAACCGGATCGATGGGGAGACAGCATAAACTAGTAATCAACAACGTACCAATAGACGAAGTAAATGTGATGGGCCAGTGTATGATCTTTGCTCACCGAAATATACTCAGCTTAGATAAAAACCTTTCTAAGTAGCTAGTATCAGCACCGGTTTTTCCATTATTAAATACCGAAAAAGAGAGTCGCAACCCTTGATCTTGAGTTTAGTGCTGAAATTTTAATTGGTGGGCTACGAAGACAACTCTCGATTCCGGTATTGTAATTAACATATTTTTTATTTTTTAACTTGTTAGGTGCTATGAGCTATTTTTAAAACAAATTTTGATTGGAACTGAATTACTCTTCCCAGCGGCCTTGGTCTTAAGTGAGGTTTTCCAGAGGCTGTTATGATTTGCCTTTAACTCCCATTTTTAATGTACCTGTGTGGGTTTAACACCAATTTATGTTTGGGGCCGTAAGATGCGCTTATAACGCGTTCAGCCTCCGCGCAACTTCCTGTGTGGTCGTTAAGATGGTATGAGGGATGTCAAAGTATCCCTGCAGTTGGCGAAAGTAAACTCAAAGCTTACCAGAGTGTTAAACACTAAGAAGCCTTAACTCGAATGACTTATTAAATTTATTACAGTTTATAAAGAATAAACAAATAATTTCAGTATTCCCATGGCATCGCTTACTTATATGTAAGGATGGACAGGTGCCCCGCGCGTAAAGCATAGAATAATTTCAAACTCTTCAGAACTTAAAGTATTTTTAGAAGACGTAGCATTCTTTGTTTGAAAGGATAAAAACGACTTCGTTGCTAATGTGGAACAGGTCAACATGTGAATGTAAAATAAAAAAAAAAGTTTCATTTCACTAACGGCGGATGCATATATTCGTTTACGCTGCTTCAAATCTTGTGGTGGGACGCTCACTGACTAAAAATATATGCTACTATAGAATTATATTTTATATTAGATCGTGGTCAGCTGATTTGTCGTCAAAATAGCTAATAGTAAAAACGTTGTGGGGAAATGGCGGTAGGTTTAATAAAACGCGTCTTTGGACCTTAACGAAAACCAACTTGTTTAAAAAATAAACCCTCTAAACCCTTCAGCTGCAATTTCTTCTAATATCACATGTTTTCGGAATGAAAGAAAAAACCTTAGGCACGCATTCTGGCTCTCGTGCAACTCTTTTTTACTTGTCTTGCCTTTAACTAATTTGTTTATGGTGTCAGGTTATATTAGAGTATATAATAAAATATGTTGATGCCGAAACGAGATCGTACTGCTATATACGAAACATTATTTAATGATGGTGTTCTTACAGCTATGAAAGATTTTAATGCGCCCCGTCATCCTGATGTAGAGGGCGTTAAAAATTTGTATGTTATTAAAGCTTGCCAGTCTTTAGTTTCCAAGGGGTATGCTACTGAACAATTTTCATGGAGACACTATTATTGGTATTTGAACAACGATGGAGTGAACTACCTCAGGTCTGTTTGCTTAAGTAATTTTTGTGTACTTGTTAATATATACAAATAGAGAATATTTACATTTGCCAAGCGATGTTGTACCCGCCACCATTAAAAAGAGAGCACCTCCTGTTCCTATGAATCGTTTTCCCCAGTCGACTGGCTTGCGTGATAACCGCCCACGAAATGATCGTGAGAGTTATCGTCGTTATATTGGCGCTGAAAAGAAAGAGGGTCCAGGCCCTGATTTTAGACCTACCTTTGTAAGGAAAAATATTACACATTATAGTTATATTATTATATTGTATACTTAGATGGGGAGGGGTCGCGGAAGCGCTCGTAATTATCCTGCTCAATCAAATATTGATTCCAATTTTTAAAGTTTTTTAGAATATATAAATGAAGTCCTCAGCAATGTTTTACTGGATTTTATCTTTTTTTAGTTTTATTTATATGTTTTATATTTAGTTTTATTATATTTACTGTGTCATTTGCTCTTATAAGATAAATATTAAGTATTGTCTCGTAAATACTTGAAGACTTTAATTGGAGATCATTTAATTAAATTGTATTTTGATCCTCAAGTTATAACAAATATTGTGAAAGTATTGTTTTTTATAGGGCCGCAATTATTCATAAGGAAAGATATTTTACTATTTTAGTATAGTTTGTTTAGCGTCCTTAGCGCCACTTATCGGGTATTTCAATATAACAAATTTATAGAGCTGTCTAGCAAGGAAGCCGCGTGGGATAAATTTGGTTTTTTTTACTCAGATTCTTTTTTTTAGGAAACCATTTACCTTACTATAGATCTCGGGGTAATTACTCCAAACTTGTTTTTTGTAGAAGGATGTTTCAGTTTACTTTGTCCCACCTTACAGTTTGATCTACAATAATAATTGCCTTATTCTGTACGTTAATACCTTTTTTTTGCAACCTTTTATAAATCGATAAGAAAGCCTTTTACCTTCAATTGTAACACAACTATTACACAAAAGCCTAAACCTTTTTTCTCGATGTAAGTATTGACATCGGATACATTCTTAAGTATTATTTAAATGAATAACCTGTTACACGGCCTAACGTTTATGTCTTTGAAACTTTCCTTTAAACCTTTAAAATATCATTGCCTTTATAAAAATTAACTAAAAATTTGGTCAGTAAACCTAGATACAAAGGATCAATTTTAAAATGAATTTACCTTAAAAAAATGCAAGAACTTATAGCTAAATATTCCTATGTTAATTCGGTAATAGTGCTTTTAGCAATAAATAATGGATAACTTTATAACATAATTTAACATATTCATAGAAACGTAATTAAACACAATCATATAACAAAATTCTCAATAAAATCAGCAACCTTAACAAGGTTATAACCCGCTTGCCTATCTGCTTGTGCTCGGTGCCTTCTTCGTAATAGAACCCACTTAATAGCCTTTCAAGTTTTTTAAATGCTTTAAAGGTGGTGACAGAGTGATGTACTTTAATTATAGTTTTCTATCGTTAACGATACATCTGAATAATACTAAGTAGGCAGTAATTTTTTCCCCTTGATCCGTTAAAGAAGGACAGAAGGTATGTCGAGTTCACTAATAGGGAATTTTTCCAAGTATAGCAGATAAAAGTTGCCTGTAACTTCAGGCATGAGTATATAGACAGTTTAATGTCTCAACTGTTAACAAAGCTTCTAAAAAAATTAGAAATTGCTGAGATAGAAGCAGCAATACACAAAAGCGTAAAAAGACTACACTAATAACTTTGCTGAACTAATGTAACGACAAGTGAGGTAAGATAGGCTGCTACGCCTTATAACATTGGTTTGTTTGTTGTAATGCCTTACTCAAGTCCTCCAGTTTGAACCTCTGCGTATCGTTTTTCGACGCGATGCTAACGCCACTTACGAACGCCTCAACCAGCACATCATTTAATTACTGGCGGAGGAGGTCAGTTACGAAATTTCTAACGGCGCACGCTGTCATCCGCGCAATGGACTTATAATTATTATTCATGGGTTGGTGCAACAAAAGAAATGTATATATTTATGAGGTTGCTTGATCATAAACTGTAAGCTAAAGGTACGCAATCACCTATTAAAAGCTCGTGATTCGGTGTTTTCTTGTCGGCCATCAACCTCCAGAAAAGTAACCAATAATAAAGATAATTTAAAATGTTTTCCCAAACTTTCAAACGGTCGTTATTTGGGGAGGTACGCTGATTTAAGTGATTTTCTCCAAAAACCGACTGTAGTCTTCAGTTTTTATATATAAAAAGATGATGCTCTTACACTTTCGCTCTTTATGCTCCTTGAACTTTTATGCTCGTATATTTATTAGACTGCGCAAAGGAAAAAAAATTTGTATTATTTTCCACTGGCATATCACACTTCACATGAAAATTTAAGCCATTGTTAAGAATTATACATTTATAACTTAACTCGCCCAGTCATATATAATGACATTTTTTATTAAATAAGAAAATTATGGATATAAGCAGCATTTTTAACTACTACTAGGAAGTCTAAAAACCGCATGTTACTGAAGTAAATATAAAATTGGTGCCCCAGGGCGTTACTTTATAGTTAAAGAAAAGATTTGCTTATAACATTTTTAATAATCATTTTATTACAAAGCAACAAAGCTAGAAAAAATTAGAGATTTATAAATATTGGATTATATCGCTAAGTATATATAATTTAATGAGGTATCAGATTAAAAATTTTTGGCAATACTTTGGTTAAAAAATATTTTTAGGGTTTTGGTAGTTTTTAGTCTCCTACGTCATGACTATGTATAATGCTTACTTTTTCTTAAGAAATTCTATAAATATGCGTCACCGTAATACTAACGAAAACTGGTTTACTAAAAATAGCGACTAGTTTTTCTATTACAGCAAAAAGATCTCAACCCTACCATTCTTAGACTGGCAGAGTTTACTGCCACGGTTGGTAAGTTGCTTTCACATGATCTGTCTAGTTTCGAATACTCTCCTATTTGGTGCAGTTGAAACTTCGGGTGTTCGCTGCAGCCCCCTTGCTTCCGCGACACTAGCTGGGTACTCATGTAACGCTCTAGGCGTCCCTCGAAAATACCTAATAGATACGCCTTACCGCTGCTATACAAACTCTTAACCACAGTTTTATGCTAAATAGCCTACATAGTTGGATAACAAATGAGCTGAGCGCTTTTAATAATGGTATTTGAAGGCTATTTTAAAGGCGATGAAGATAAGTGGAGATCCTTCTTCGATCACTTCTTAATAATCAGTGCATGCCTCCAACTTGGGTTGCTGTTGTTACAAAAGCAAGGCATCATATGTAGCTTTAACTGCTGCCCGGCTACAGCCAATGAAATCGCTGTCATAGTCTCCGTCTTTCTGCGGAAGGTACTCGGCCTCGACGAAGTCACTAAAGATGCTAAAAAGTTGTCGCAGCCAGTGATTAACCGTCTGATCTGCTTCGGAAATTTGAGTTTTAGCTTGGTTCTGCTTATTGCCCTGTATTGCGGGACAGCGAGTTCTCACACAATGCCGTGGCAATTCCTTTTTGTCTTTATCGGAAGAAGGCTACACTACTTGGATCCCCCCGCCCTAGTTCAATTCCTACAAGTATATAAAACTTTGTTAACCGGTGTTATCTATAACTACTTAATTGCACTTATTTGAAGTCATCTCTCGCAGGTTGTATTATTTCTTATTTTAGAAGCTAGACCTTGTAAATAGTCGTGCTAATATATTTCAGATCAATGCTATGAGAGGAGAAAAAGATCTAACTTAGATAACTGAATAAAACTAAATATCCGTTTTGTGAGCGAAATGTAGTAACGTCAAGACAGTGCTCAGATCCTTAAAATTCTCATACAGCTAAATTAGCAAGAGAGAAAGTAAATTATTGAAGATTTCTATTCTCCCGTTAAGAACAAGCCTTTATTTTTAAGGTAATTCACATCTACCTTAAAACACCTAAAAAAATTTTAAACTTGTGTGAGAGCAACTACAACTATACTTTTACAATCACGGCCCTCTTGAAAAACTTTTTACTTTAGCAACCGAGCAGTACGCGTGCCCGCAGCTTCCACCCTTTCCACATTGTGCGATAGTTTTGCGTCAATTCTATCCAGCTGTTGGTTGTGTTGACTGAGAGTGGTGTGCATTTCCTGAGCCTGTAAGTTAATTAAAATTAAAAAAGTTTTCTGTTTTCTATAAACTTTCGGTGGGACCTGGGCTCTTAAATTTCCTACAATTCCACTGATATCGTTTAAATTTTCCTCCATTTCATCCTCACGAGCGTCCCCAATTATCCGCCTCATCACAGGCCTCTCGGGTTGCTCGGAAATGCTATTTCCGTGGTTTCCATGGGACACTTCCTGTGCGCGTTCCGGTTGCACGCTCGAAGTTTCTTTAAATTTTCTTTTTTCTGTTAAAAATCTAAGTAATAATACCAGAATATATATCAACGTGGCCTACTAAATTTTTTTGATTTGTTCCAAGGACAAACACAGCATCCACAACATTTTTCAAGTTCCTCAATCTCACTTTCCGCTTCAGCGACATTTTGATTGATGTTATCCAAACCTCTTTCAATCCTATTTAATTGCTCTAACTTGTTTAGGTTTATTTGAAATTATATATTAGATAAAATTAATTAAACAATAATAAAAGTAATAACTTAAATTATAATAAGAATTAACCCCCTTGATCCCCTAAATTTTTAAGTGTTGCACCACCAACTTGTTCCGTTTCTAGGGCCAACGCTTTCATGCGCCTCGTCCTTTTTGTTAAAAAAAAATATATAAATAGCTACTTCCTCTGAATTAAATGGTTAAAGGTGAAAAGAGAAGTTAAAAAAATTTAAAATAATTGGCGATATTCTATAAATTTACGAAATACCGCTAAGACCTTTAATACAGAGGAATAATTACTAAATAATAGTTTCTTTGGCCAAGTTGCATAATAAACTTACGATTCCAGGGACTCGCCTGTGACCTTATCAGCTTCATTACGAAGTTCTTGTATCTTTCTATCCTCGCTCATTGTCAATTGAGAGGTTAAAAAAGATTAAGAACTTTAGAGATTATAGCCTTTAGTTCAATACAAGGTTCTCCATAGGATTAAGCTATAAAAGTTTATTGGGCCAGGGAACGGGAAACCTATAATTGCCTATTTGGGATTAACTAGCAAATGGTACTACTTCTTTGTGGCGGTGATTTAATAAAGCCAATAACTGACGCTTATTGAAAACCTTTGTATGCAGAAGCCTTTCCTTAAAAATTCAAAATTTACCATTGAAAGACTGTTCAAGTTTTTTAAATTTTTATTAGCTGGACTTAAATATAAGAGACTAATAATTCCCTACGCCTTGGGGTTGAGAATTACAGCTAATATTTTACTCTTTGCCGTTTTCTGTAAAACATTAATAAATAATTATTCCTTTTAAATAAATTATATCATAGGTTCATTATATCGAAATTTTTAAATATAAAAATACATACCAAGAGACATTGAGCGAACATTGCAAAAACGCACTTTAGCACCAAAAAAAAGCTCAAGGGATTTATGACAGATCAAAGCTATTATCGAACTTAGAACTTAAGTTTTAACTTCTGTAAATAAAAATATTACTACTCTAATAGCCAAATTTTATCTTGAACGCTCTTAACATTTGTCATAAAGCTATTTTATGTACTCTTTTAAATCCACCGAATGTGGAGGTGATATTTAAACTTCCAGCTGAACGAGGCGCCACAGCGTGCACACCGCCAACAATTGTCCCTCTTACTTGCGTATAATAATTGTTTTGGGGAAGACGTACACTTAACCATCAACGACCTTTAATGTGCGCTTCAATGCTCTTATGTTCTGAGCTATGACGACAACTTCAACCCGGTATCAGGGCTTTAAGTTTACGATAGGTTACGTTTGACCCTTAACACTTGGCACCACTCAATCCCCAGCTAACTAAACGAGTTTCACCTTTCTTTGAACTAACCGCTCGTCCCTGTAGGATAATTTCATAATTTTATACTATGGAGTAGTTCAATAAAACTCTCATATGTTGTTCTCGTGTGGTAGCCAATCCTTTCTCATGGGAGTCAGCAGCATTTAACTTGACGCTTTCTCTATGCGAAGTTTCCCTAGTGCCGTCATGCTCTTGTGGAGCGTTCGTTAGCGTTGTTACTTAATTATAGAGATTGTATTACTATGGAACCTGAAGTTTGCAAATCAATTTTGGAGCCTAAAAGGACTATTTATATACACAATCTTAACGAAAAAATTAAAATATCCGGTTTTTTTTTACAGAATCTTACTTTTATTTTTGCTAACTTTGTACATTGGCATTTTTTTCAGAATTAAAACCAGCTTTAAACGGGATGTTTTCACAATTTGGAAAAATTCTTGATATACACGCTAGGACAACTTTAAAAACAAAAGGACAAGCTTGGATTAGTTATGAAAATCTAGATAGCGCCATACATGCCGTAAATAGCCTTAACGGGTTTGAATTTTACAATAAACCTATGGTAATTTTAGTATTAAAGTATTCTTATGCTATTTTAAAATTAAATTGTTAATTAATAATATCTTTATGTAAGAATTATGCTTTTATATTTAAAATCTAATTGTTTACTTAACTAACATATAACATTAACAGGAGATTTCATTTTCGAAAAAGGAAGCGGATGCTGTTGCTAAGCTTGAAGGCACCTTCCAACCGCGACCACGACGCCCAAAAGGCGAGAGGGATAGAATTTTACTCCGAAAGCAAATAGGTGACCAAGATCCCTCTCTTTTTTCGGGTCCCGCTGAGCGCACTTTGAAGGAGGCCAGTCAGGCATCTCAAATACAGCCGCAAACTTTATATAAACCTTTGCAAAATAAATCTCGTATAAACTTTATTGCTTTATTGTATTTTTTGTAATATCTAATTTTTTTATTAAACTCTTTTGTTTTTATTGTTTTATTATACTCAATTGAACTTTTTAATATTTTTAGGCACAGAAAATCCTCCAAATAAAATTCTTCTTTTAGTGGATCTTCCTCCAGATTGCGATGAAAAAAAATTAAAAGTTGTTTTTGGGAATTTGCCTGGCTTAGTAGAAGTTAGGCTAATCGCTGGAAGGTATGATGTAGCCTTTGTCGAATATGAAAACGAGTATCAAGCTAGCCAAGCAAAAAGTTTATTATTTACTAGTAACATATAATATTTATTTTTTTATGTTGCTATTTTTTAGGTACTCTTCAAGGTTATTATTTGGATCAATCGCATCAGCTAAAAATATTGTTTGCAAAGGCGAGCAGTTAAAATTCGAGAGCATATTTAAGTGCTTACTAATAAAGGGGTGGGTTGTTGCTAAAATGTTTTATACTTCTATTAAAATTTGTGGAGAATTTGTATTGCTTACTAACACTCGTAGCGGATAAAAACCTGTAGAGTTGGTATTGTTCAAATTTTCGGGGTGTACCATTTACAACGGCTTTGATTTATAAACTTCACTTCACTGTTATAATAAATTAGCGAGCAAACGCAGTGATTAAAGGATTAAATGTTGCAAGCGAGTTGGTCAGTTATATATATTTGGCGTTATCATCACTAAGAGTTTAGTATACTTGTTGCCACTAAATTAACACTTGCACATGCAATAAATTGCATTGGGTAGAAGAGGAAGGGTAAGAACGAAGGACTTTTACGAAAGCCCTTCCTATACAAATTTTCGGGGAGTTGTATGCTTCTAGTTCACGTTAACGTAACTCCAAATTTCTTCACAGTTTTTTTTTAGTAAGTTTATAACTTTTATTATAAAATTATATCAAAATCATTATTGCTGCTAAAATATTTAAAAAGATCCCGTTTAATTGTAACTTTTGCTATACGTGACAACCCATTTTAAGCCATAAAGTTTAGTTGGAAAAAAAATTATGAAATTACAGTTATGATAAATATTTCAGGAGATAACTAGTGGTTTAGTGAGCATATGTTAATAACTATTATCGAAAGAAAAATTTATAATTGGAATACACTTCGTAAAAAAGAAACATAATAGGGCCGACAAAGTTAAGAAAGCTTTAAAAAATACCAAGCAAGACCTGTAAGCATTATAATTTTAAATAGCTGTGCGATAAAGTTAATGTAAGTTTAAACTGGATGACAACTAAATGTTTCATAACACTGTGACATATCCCCTTTAAAAAAAAAGGAGCACGCGGCTAAACGATTTCTCCTGAGTTGCCAATGATTTATATAATTTATTTTATAAATGGCATTTCCTGGTGCTCAATCGAGTTAACAAGTTCGAATACACGAGCTCTCAAAATAGGATTTCGGGAATACACGAGTACAAAAGTATCGTATCCTTCATGCTAAGAGTGCGTCGCACAAATGGCAGTATTTTTTTTTAACACTGGTATACTATGACCTGTCTTCTTCAGACCTTAAACCGCTTAACAAGAATCCCTTCTGTAGGGGAGAGACAGAAGCATCCACTAGGGTACGCTCTTTAGAGAGAGCTACAAGGCTGTCCCGAAGGACTGTATAAGAGGGAAATATCGGGCCCGGGCTTCCGCTATTCGGCCTTGTGTGTTGGAAGAGCGCTAAAAACCACCACCGGAAGAGACAGTCTTAGGCACATGACCCGAGGCCACAGGGAGACACCTGCCAGCACCACTGCCAGCTAGTACTCCCCGACTGTGAGCTCCTCACCAGAAGGAAGGAGCCCTTGCGGACGGTGGTATTGTGTGCCATCCCATAACTTCTAAGTGAGTTCTTCCGCTATAAGACGATTAGCCTTTACAGCTATCCGTGCGTAGAGGGCGACGGCACTCATTTTCAAAGATTACGGTCAGCAGCTTAAGCTGTAGTTCGTGGTAAAGAGTATAAATGCGCACAAACCACGGCGCGTTTGTAAATAGGCGCAGCATTTTGTTTTGTCGCACTTGAAGCGGGAATGTTACCGCCGATAAGTTGTAGGCCCCGGCAGGAGGTGTATATGTCAGAATCGGCCGAATACACAGCACATTAAGCCTTCGTTTATCGCGCAACGAAATTTTATTTTTGCTGTACAATAATGGATAAAGCATTTGGGTCGCTGCCTAGACCTTGGCGTCATGTAATTTACGTGTGGACGCCCATGACAGCTTAGAATCTATAATGACCCCCAAATATTTTACCTGGAACACTATGGGATTATCATGCCTTTAAAAGTAAACGGAGACGCCAGCGCCTAGTTTTTTTTTTCCTTCGTTATAAGAAGCGCCTTGCTTTTTGCTGCGTTCATGGAGAAGTCCCATTGACGGCAACAGCTAAAAGTGAGGCGGGATAAAATTGTAAGCGCTGACATAGTAAAACAGGTGACTTTGACGATGAATGAATCATCGTATCATCGGCGGAAATGGCGACCCGCTTGTGAGGGTGCACTGGAAGAGGAATAAATCGTTTGTATAGAATGCGAAAGACAGCGGTGAAAGAAGAGAAGCCTCATGGGAACCTTTCGCTGTGGGATAGCGAGGCGACGACAGTGTAGCGCCTGCCTACTCGCACTTGAATAGCGGCCGACTTGAGAATTTTTCGAAGGGCACACAATATCGCCAGAGCATGTAGCTTGCTTAACAGGACACCATGCCATACTTGGGTAAAAGTCTTTTTTAAAATAAAGGCTCCAGTCGTCCACTCGGTTAGGCTAAGAATTTAATGGGCCGTTAGGTGTCCCTTGCGAAATTCAAACTGAAACTCTGGTTAAATCCCGAAAGTTCAAAAAAAAAACGCCTATAAACGTTCATCACTGTTTCAGCTACCTTACCAACTGCCGGTAAAAGGCTGTTGGGTCGATAATTGGGAGGTTCTGATGCCAGGTGCGATGTCTTTGATAACATCACGAACACCGCTGTTTTCCATCACCCGAGAAAATAGCCGAAGGTCAGCACCGAGTTGACGAGGTCCCGCATAGATGATTCACAGCAGCCTCTGGCAGCTGTTTTGGCATCAGCTTAGTGATGCCGTCAAGACCGGGCGCCTTTCGATCCTGTGGTAGTTTGAAAACTGATTTGACCTCAGCTGTGGTAGACAGCTCCAAAAAATTAGTTGTATCACTCAAGGTAAGATTAAGCATAAGGGGGGCGTTAACAACGGTTGAAGGGGCGGCAGCGAACACTTAGCAGCTAGGTGACCAACAAAATTTTTCGCTTTGTCCTCATCGCTTTGTAATACGGTATCGGCGTTGCAAATTGGTGGCCGAGTCGATTGTCCGCGAATTCTAACCTGCTTGTAAAACCGAAAAGGAGGCGCCACCGATGTCACCAGCTTTTAACACTTAGTTTAATTTGTTACCCAGTGGCAGTTCATATGCGCTATCAGCTTTTTCCTGATGTGCCAGTGCAGGCGGTTTAGCACTAGTTTGTCTTCTGCGCGTTAAAAGGCCATGACTTCTCGGAAGAGCCGCCGATGTTCGTATATTAATAGCTTTGATTACTCAGGAAGGCGTTTAAGGTGCTAAGCAAATTTACGTGTCGTCATTGCATTGTTGTGAGCTTCTGTCACCGCGCGCTCAATTCGACAACAGCACTGTTTAGTTCAACGGAGTTTCGTGTGGCGTTAGTATAGTGGGAGCGTCCTCTCGAGCAACTCGGTAAATTTGTTCCAGTTCGTCTAAAACCGAAAATATATCTCCTTTCATCGCCCAATTCGAGCGGAACAGGCAAATGATCCGAAGACAACTCGTTTAGCTCCTCAATAGCTGTTGGAAGGTATATTTTTTAATATGGCGGTATCCCAACACGTACATTGTGCCCGTCTACCTTGTCACGTGTGTTGGCAACTGAGATCCTAGGACTCTCAACCCGCGTTCCTCAGCGTTAGCCTCGAGTATGTAGCATTTCCTGTTTGTGAGTTGCTGTCCTACATAAAACGTTTAAGGTTTAAGATTCTCGCATAAAGTGGGCGGAAAGTCATGCGCTAAAAGAGCGACAAGATCGAACAAGGTCGACTGGGAGGCTTATAGATTGTAATCACAGTCATGACCACTAGCCAGTTTAAGGGTAATATTGACTGCCTCAATTCCTTGCAAAGCTGATAATGCTGTTAAATTTTGTTGGATGCATAGCTTGACCAGGATAGCTACCATCCACCACTGGTGTACAACCGATCCTGGTCATAAGTCGCAAGGTTGCAGATGTTAAAAGGGGCATTGGGAAGCTATGTATTTCGCTGACGATACAAAGATCTATTATTTCGCGTATCAATTCCTGCAACTAGTGTATTTTCTTCTGAAAGTCTTCCCGCTTTCCAAAACAGTAATCGGATGTAATTAAGCATAAGGAATTAAAAAGGAGTGCAAACAAATTCTAAGCATTTTACGGCCTCGAGAATGGTCAAGGGATATGTCATCCAAATAGCTAACAATTAGCGTAAAGTTAGGTGCGAGTGCTGTTCTTGTTGTTAAGTAACGAAGTCCGTATTAGGCCTCGCTCTCAAGCGAAGTGTATAGGATATAGTTGGCTAATGGTAGCATCCGGGGTGGCCATCGGACGTCATAATCGCTAGGATTGGGCGGCCGTTAAAGTTCTCCGCGGATAACATTCGCAGCCCTGGTAGTTGGCGAAATGAGTCTCGCTGCAATACGCAGCTAACAGGCTAGTCTTGTGTTTGGGTACACTCCGCGGGCAAATGGGTCTCATCGCATTTGACGCACCGAATATCTGGTAGCGGTGGCACTAGCCAACGCAATTGTCTTTTCTAAGTGCTTCTACTTTGATTTGAAGATAAGAAATAGCTTCAGTCCTAATAGCTTTGTCGTTCGGTTCTGGGTATATGAATCACACTAAAGGTAACGGACACTTCTCTTGTTCACTCTTATCCGTGTGCTCTGTAGGCATCTGTGCCCCTCCGATGGGTGTGGTGCCTTGCGAGCGCAAGTCTGCTTCGACGGGGGGAATGTTAACTTCACAATTAATTCCAATAACAAAATTGAAAGGCATTTCCTCATATAATTAATAGGTGGAATGTGTAATTTATGATTGCGCGTTACCGCTGTAGTAGCTCATTCTTCAACCGTTGTCGAAAATATTTTAATTCTAAGACGTGGATCTCTTGAACTCGGGTCGTGGCTCCGTTGATTTGCAAAATTGTACAAAAATGGGCCACCTCTGTTTTTCATAAAGGGTGAAGGGTAGGATTTCCTCAATAGTTCGCAGGGAGGTTGATGCAGTAGGTGGTCGTTCAGTAATAAGGGGTAAGTGTCAGAAGCGTTGCCCGTATCAATGTCAACTGTGTTGTGTAAAGCCCTTGAGGGAATCTCTGAGCCTCAAGACTTTTAAGTTGTCATTGCCCTTATTGGAGCTATTGTTAATTTTATTATAAAGATTAAACTTATTACTATTATTATTACTACTAATAGTTTATTATTGTATATAATGTAATTTTTATTATTACTATTGTTGCTAACAGTTATATTATTAGTCTTAAGATAGGTGCTACCACTATTATGATTTTTAATAAGTTATTTTATTGTGTATAGACTCGTCTTTTGTAACCTTTAAAGTCGCGCTATTCCTACTATCACTTCAGAAGCACCGGGTTGATCTAGAATTTGTAAGGCCGAAAATACTTTTTTATTGTTAGATATACTGTCAAAAGGCTCTTTTCGCCTTTAGAATTATTCTGGTCCTGAGTGGTTACAGTAATCAAGGAGTTTTGCTTTTATAGAATCTTTTCTGAGTTCTTCATTTTATAGCCAATAAGTTAACAATGAAGGCCCAAAGCTCTTCTTCAGAGGAGGGGCTCATAAATAATATAAAGATAAATATATATTTTTAAAGAAATAGAAAAAGGAAAAAAAAGATATAATTATATATACATATCAGACCTTTAGTATAAAGTCAGTAGTTATATTTTACGTAATTAAAATTTTCTAATACGTATAAGTATATTTTAAATTAGCACTATGTAAATAAGTCAAATATTTATCGCAAATTAAAAGTAAGAAGTTGAGGTGTGCAGGCCTCACTCCCAATGGCACTGACTGTAAAAAAATATGGAATCCTTCATGGTGCCAAAATTAGGCAAATATATATGTAATGAGTCAAACCACTAGAAAGCGGTTAGATGTTAAATCTTTTTTACCAAACACGAGCCGTTTTTGGAAGCAGCTCTAATGTTTTCGGAATTATTGTTAAACTTGAAAGGAAAATAGTTTTGTAAAAAAAAATATCTTTAAAGTGGTCTCGAGAGAACTATACTTCCTTATAAAGTTAAATGTAGGTACTAATAATTTTTATTGTTTAGTTGTGAAAGTATACCACTAGTTACCCTCTCCATTTATGTACTCTGTTTGTTTTGATATAAACTATGGGGAGCTCTTTCTTTATTGCTAAAAGGTAGCGTATTTATATCATAGCGATTTATCATATAATTTTTAGTTATTATTTTTATTTATTTCTTTTAATTTTTGCCTGTAACTCAGTTTTATTATTAATTTTACCTTTGTTAACTCGTAAATTGCTTTAGGAGGAGGAGTAGTACTTTGGGAAAGAATTCTTTTGGTAAGTCCTGTTTGCTATATTATTTGTGTGCAACTTCTTTCTTCTTCTTTTTTTTTAAAGCAACGAAGACCACTTTGGTATTTTTATAAAAAAAAAAGCAGTTAGTCAATGATTTATATTTTCATAACATGTTTTTTAGGGCCAGTATGGAAACCTTTTTACTTATATTCCGGGCATGCCGATCAAACTTTACTTGTGGTGGCCTCTTTTCTCTTTATTATCGCTGGATTTTTGTTTTTATCGGCCGTTTATACTATGTATTGGGGGACGTTTAGCGGAGGAAGAAGTTAGTATGTAACTTATGTTAGTAAATCAATTTTGTTTAAGTTATATCTTTAAATAGCATTCTACATTGATAATACGGATGTTAGCAAACTTAAGTTTCTCTCCTCTAATAAGACTGAGCTTCCCAGCAGTCATTTTAGTCTTCACAGCATTCAGTTTCCTGACTACGGCTACAATAACGTGCTCTTGTGTTTGGTTCTATTAATTTCCTTCTTTATTTATTTTTAACTTCTTTTGGAAATTAAAGCTCTATTTGCAGCTCTATTTTTATGTAATAAAAACTTTTTACGCAGCTTGAAACTGTTTTCTTAAGTCCGTTCCCACTAATATGATTTAGTTAATTATATATATTGAAGAAAGGGTTTTACTGGGTGTCTTTGTGAGCATATTTAAGGTTCTGTATAAACTTCTTATACTTTCATACCATTTTTTAGGAAAGTACGAAAGTTGAGCACACGAGTGACGATCGGTTGTTTTCCTTTTCGGTGTGCAGTTCTTATTTGACTGCTTGCAACATTCTGTCCTATTGTGGAACCACGTTTACCTTCCTTACACCGCTGTTTTTGTTCTGGCGCTCTAGAAAGGCAACCGTTATGACTATTATAGGTCTTATTGCTTTTTCATGCCTCTAAATTTATATGTGTTCTTCTCTATTATTTTTTATAAATCAGTGTACTCATTATTTTTAATTTTCCAAATTTCGACTGGGCAAATGTAAAGTAAATATTGCGTAAAACTAAAAAACATTCTTTATACTTTTTATAGTTAATATTATTTGGGCGGTTTAAACACGAAAACTAGCAACCTGAATGTGTTTAATTTAAAAATTTCTGTAGAGCAATAATACTCTATTCAGTTTATCATATCAACAATAAATAAAACTATTAAGTTGATTAACTGAGGGCTATTAACTTGTCAGCTAATATTTCTGATTTTGTAAGTTTTTATATCAAAGTTAGTTCCACTTTGTTAGAAATATATACCCGGAAGCGCAGAATATGTTCAAATTTTAGTGCTTTATATCCGCTATTTATCAAGCACTACGAAAAGCTAAACTTATAGTTTTGAGTGCCTTCTGTTGACTCGCAAAAGGTTCGGCTGTAGTCTGCGGAGGCTAACGAGGACAGTAGTTTTCTCACAATATAGTCTTTCTTTTAACGAGAACAACCTTAGCCTCGTGGTTACCGCCGACTTCCTCAGTACAGTTACGTATCGCTTTTATTACACTTTTTAAAAACGCAGACTAGCTCGTTTTGCACCCCTTATTTGATAAGCGCGTTAACTGAGGCTTGCTACTTGTTGTGTATGACACAGTTCTACTAGAGGCCTTCACTGTGTCCTAGTTTTGTTCCGACCGCTATACACGCCATGGGATCTGGTTACTTCCAAGTACGAATAAGGTGTAATTCAGCGTTGGTTTGCCCAACTAAGTCCCGCTACTACAAGCTATATTTCTATTAATCTAGTTTTCAAAATAGATACATTTAAAGTAATAAATATGTTTGATGTCTTTTAATAACAACTAAACTACACAACACAAGTATTTAATAAGTAGCAGGTAAACTAGTAAAAGTAAGTTGATGGTATAGGAAGTTGTTCTACTTTCCCACTTGTTTTTGAAATATTTATAACCCCAAGGAACAACGGTTTGCTAAATGTTTTTAAATAAAACATCACTTTTCTTACTTGGTACGTTGGAGCTTTCAAAAGATAAACTTTAATAATTGTTTTAGGATTTGTGGCGCTTGTACTTAACCTCCTTGTCTTGGTGTTGTACGAATTTTATTTTCTCAACGAACCTTTTACCTACTACGGAGTGGGATATAACCATATTCGCGAACAATATGAACACGGATCTTCTTTCTGGATTTACGTTTCGGGCTTTTTCGTTCTTCTTCTGGCTGAACTGGTTGTATTGGCGTCCATTATCTTGAAAAGTTGCCAGTCATGATGAGAGAAGAAACATTTTGCCATCATTGGGGATACTAAAGTTAAAAGCATCAAGACCGTATAATTGGAAGGAAATACGTATAGGTCGCTGAGATTTTTCTTAGGCCGGGACCTTTAAGGTTTCAGATAAAAAAGTTCTCGGCTCACTTAGTATGTCCACTGAGTATCGGTTGAAAACTAACATATATCTTTCTATTTCTAGGTTGAACAAAACAAATAACTCAGGGATCTTCATATGAAGTTTACATAACCTTGGCGTTTTCTGTTTTGTCATATTGTAGTAGTATATTAAAAGTACTCAGCAAAACTTTTTAAATAATTCATCTAGTGTGTTACCGCACAAGCTTAGTGTTGCTCCTGTGAACCTCAAATGCGACCTACTTTAGTAGTAGAACTATTAAGAGCAAAATAATAGCTGTAAAGATTCCATGTCATCTTGACTTTAGTAGTTATAGTAATATTAGTATGTTTTGAGCACTTAATTATTAGAGTTACAGTATATTTTGCTGTATATGCTCGAATGTTATTCTTGATAGATTTACGGACTAACGAATAAAGTAGTAGAAAAAACTATTGTAATAAATTATAACGGGTAATAATCTGTATTAAATCTTAAAACGATTTGTTTTGACCTTGGTTCAAAGTTTTCTTTACCTTTTTACATATACAAAAATATTTACGAGGGGGTTAACCTTTCAGAAAGAGTTTTTATATCAGTATAAATTTACTTAAGACTAGTCTTATTTGTGATGAGTTACTCTCTTTTTCAAAGCAATTTAACGTGTTATTTATAAATTATCAATCGCTGTAATTTAAGTTACCTTCAAGGTTGTATTTTTCTTTATTTATAACTAGTTATTACTTTTTTATGTACAATAGTATTAACACGGTGGATTTCGCTTTAATATTGCTCCGAATAGCAACGCTTATTGCAGTTTGTAAGCAAATAAATTATGTTTAACTAAAAACATACATTATAGGGAATTTTTATAATTTCAGTACATCTTCCTCTTATTTCACCTTTAATTATCAAACAGTACTTTAATTATTTAATACGTCTTCTGCTTTTTTTAATGACTTCTGTTAGCCTTCCTATTGGACCAAAAATGGCTTCTGTAAATCGGGAAGAGTTATTACTCCCGCTCAACGCAACAGAGTATTTTTCTATGGTAATTCTGTTTAAAAAAATTTAAATTTTTATTATGGTTAACAGGAATATCCATATTTTTTGTACCCTAACCTTAACATGAAATATTTTTTCCTGGATAATATACGCTATAAGTTATGACTGAAAAAATGTTTATTAAATCTTTATTTATGGTGAGTTACTATACTATAAACCCTTTTAATTTATTATTTTTATTTTGCATATCTGTTTTTATCTTAAATATAGGTATATTCACTTTTTGTGGAATTTTTTTTTGTTTTGCGAAAGCCTTGTTATTGTAATAAATAATATTGGAGTACTTGTCTTTTTAACGGAATCATTAATCTAAATTTTTTCCGTATCAATGTTTAAAAGTCTTTGATAGTAATTGTTAAATCGAGGGTAAAGTAGTTGCCGCTGTTGAATCTTATTAAAACAGTACTCTATTTAATAGAACGTTATACCGCATACGTACTGAAAAGCTTACATATTATTGTATATTAAGACTTAGTACTATCAAATTTTGTTCTCTTCAACTGGCTTCATATTTGTATTATCTCCTTTTTTTTTTTTTTAAAAAGTAATGCTGCACCAAGAGGAACTAATTCAAAGGCTCATTGAATCCGGGACGGCCAGTAACGGCTTTTGCACTTATATGAAAGCTCGTGATTGGAATGACCTGAAATAAGCTGTGCTACCACCCCCCAAGAAATGTAATTACTTTTCTATGGACCAAAGGAAAGGCAGGGAAAAATAAAAGATTTCAGAGTTTGTGTTTCTTTTCATAGAGGTTTGCTGTCTGTTAGTTGATTACCGATTCACTGGGCCTTCGCTACTGGAATCTGGTTTAATGGACTGGTGTCCCTTTTTAACTTAGCGTTACTTTATTGCAGGGAAGCATTCACTCTTCTAAAAGTACGTCTGAGTTGTAAAGTAATAATTTCATGACCTTTTACCGCATTTAACCACTTATGTTCGCCAAAATGAAAGAAATGAACATGTTTTTTACTTTTGTAAATTTTTACTTTGGGAACCAATCAAGCTAATATTACACGTTACGGTGGTAGTATTGAACACAAACCAAGTGCAGAGCTAATTTATTTCTATATTTATATAAAAATATTAGGAAAGTATGAAAACACCTATAACGGTGGTAGTACTGAAACATAAGCCCACTGCAGGGCTATTCTCCTACGGTTACTTATTAAAAATTTTAGTAAAACTGTAAACACGGTGCTGGTTCTGGAAATAAAATAATAATAACCTTTAAGGCTGTAATGATAAATAAAGTAACAGTATACGGGAAATTAAACCGGAATCAAAAAAGCCTCACTTCCGCCAAAAATGCACACATTTTGGAAGCTATTTATTTTGCCTGTTAAGGAACACCGCAGGTTGTTTTGTAATGCTAAGGCGAAAGCACTATAGGTCGTTCTCTTAGAACTTAACTAGAGACGACACCAAGCTCCCGACATAGAAGATCAACTACTTTATTAACCTGTAACTGGTGACGTGGGGTTTGATGAAACCCAAATATAAAAATGTTTTTTTTGGAGACAAATCGGCAGAAACCTTTCTAAAGTAATTCCTTTTATTTAGGATCTCTTAGGAATGCATACGTAATTAATTAATATATAAGAACTGCTTACAGAAGTAAAATTTTCAAGTTAAATAAAAAGCACTCAAAAACGCCTCTGTGTTATTTAAATAATAGAACTAACTGAAGTATAATGAGCTAACGCTGTGTAAGTAATAACGCTTCTAATGAAGTATCCTAACTATAAAACAACACTATATTTAAACTAACTATTGTCAAAAATCTGTTGAATGCAGCCCACACAATGACTAACAGTACAGCTGCCGCAGCTTGGAGTGCTACATTCAACACAAATGAATCTTGTCTTTTTGTCTTTGTCTTTAGAACAATTGCTACACCTAAGTTGTCTCTCCAAAGTTGTAAACGATGGCGGGTTATGGGTTTTGTGAGGATTATTATGTTCAGTCGCTATTCATAAGTTAGACGATTGTCCAGCAGCCTTTTGTTCAGTTAAAACTTTACCAGTTGTTTAGCAAGAATTTAGGTTTTTTAAATCTCTTCCACACAGGATTTTCAAGAAAACTACAAAATAACACGTAAGCATTTACGAGGCTAATTTTTAGAAGAGTAAAGGAATTAGCTTTAGGATCTGTTAACTCGTCGACTAGTAGAGTACACGGTGCATTTTTTGTATAAAGCATCCACGCTTCCTTTGGTCTAAGTGTAAAACTGATGAATTCTGGTTTCAGAATTGGGCACGGCTACCATGGTGCAGTGACGAATTTAGGAAAAGAACCTTGTTCCTCTTGGCACAAACGACACTAAAACAGAAATGGACGGTCATTTTTTCATTTCAAAAATCCCAATCAATGTCAGTAGTGCCGCCTCTAATTCCAGTACAAGAAGAAAATAGAGACGAACCGGTTATTAGAAGTAATGCTTCGGTTTGTTCTATGGAGAGGAGGTGCCAAACGTTATGACTGAGCCGAACTTCCCTTTATTATCATCTTCAGAAAGTGCGAGCCTTTCGTTGCCCTAGCCAGAATAAACATAGGCCTTAAAAAAAAATAGTGAAGGATCTTCGCATCGTTTAATACCATAACTTTTAAACCGATTTCCGAAATTATATGACATATACATGCAAAATTCGAAACCCCCTTAATCTAACGAGCATTTCGTCTACGCAAGCGTATTCTTTCAGAGTAGAATTGTGGACGTTATTACAAACGTCCTAAAAAACTCAAGATATTGCAGCCGTTACTCCAGTTTTATTTCTTTCTTCTTAATCAAAGAAGAAGTATGCTAGAATAACCAGTGTTCGCTTAAAAGAGAGACAGAGCGGAAGATGACGACCGGTGCCATCTGTAACAAACAGTTCTTCAAAATCTTTGTTTGATTTGGAGACTGAAGAATATTTCAAGGCCCCTAGAAACGCTCTGTAATCGTACCTACCTTCTGAAGAAAGCTGCAGCTCAATTTGCGATAACTTTTCGCTTGTCCGTTAAATTATTTCGCTCTAACTTCATCTGCGGACTCCCAAACAAAAAGTTGAGTACAATAATTTTTTCTCTGCTTCGCTGGACCAATAATTTCTGAAAGATGTGTAATTATTTTATACTTCCTTATTCGGAAGTATGGACCTTGGGGGTTCTGCAAGACTATATTTACCATTTGCTTGGTTTCTATAGTTGGCTGATCAACATCATTAGAAGTTACCTTCTCGGGCTCAGATTGGATTTGCTCCTCTTCGGTATCATTCTCAAGGTCATTAGCAAAGTCCAGGTCATCAATGTGTCCTTCGTCACCAATATAATCGCTCTCTAACTCTTTGTAAATATTTGTCGCCCCTTCTTTAAAACCGGTGTCATTTGATTTCATTACACGTCCTGACGCCGTGGAAGTCACAACACACATTGAGGAAAAAATAGAAACGTAGATAATAAGGGGTTGGGACTTGGCAAACCCCAAGTTGGTTCTATATGGATATAGTTCCAAATTAAATATTATCACTGCGTGCGTACTTACACCGGTAGTGAGCAAACTGACTGAAAGGTTTACAGTCTGTGAGCGATCCTCCACTATCTTTAAGCGTGTAGCAACACTTCCTAATTTCAGTGGAATATGACAAAGCCCACCTCGCCAATTACGGGTTAACACCTTGAGATTGAGAGTTTTCGTCGTAGTGCTGACCGTAAGGATTATTTCATTAGACCTTAATAATGACCTTCGAACATAAATAGAGACGACAAACCCCTACAACAAGAGCTGATAATATTTTCCTGCTCCATGCCTTTTGGTGTTAACTCTGTAGCAGTAAAAAGGACAGTCTAATTACTGTAACATTATTTAAATTACAAAAATTTATCTTTTCGCCACTTTGTATTTTTGCTTTACACTATTTTTAGCCACCTCTGATAGTACCACCTAAAAAATAACAGAATAACAGTAGTTTATTGGGTTGAGGCGCGAACAACCCAAAATCGTAATTCCCATGCTCACTGTTACGGTTCCTTTTTTTGGCCTTTTGATAGATGCATATTAAACTCGCCCCCATATATTCTAATACTTCGTGTTAAGAAATAATTATCCACCCGCAAAGCGAGCCTCTTAAGATATGAGATTAGCGACTCCCGCCAAGCAGCCGATTACAGCAAAGTTGTGCGCCTGCGGACTATAAGAAAAGGATGCATATACATTGTAAGATTTATGTTGCTCGAAATAGGCATCAAAACTAGCTTTGGCCATAGTAGTCAAGCATTACATATACAATACTTAAAGTCCCGATTGTTGCCGCCTGCTGCGACGGGAGCCGGAGTGCAAACACCGCATATAGTACAAATATCCACAGAACTGTTAATCAACTTTAACACGCCAATAACGTCTAATACAGCTATGAATACAATAGTATTGCCTACAGCAGCTGCAACTGCAACAATAGTCATAACCTTTAAAAAGGGTCGTTTAAAACGACTCGCTGGTGCTACAAGCAACTCGGCGATCGCAAAAAAAAAAATTGCTTGTTAATAACAAAAGATGTATTCGTAATTCATTAGCCAGGCGTGTAAGATGTTTTGTAGCTCAGTGATAATAGCGTTGATGGGCAAAAGTACTGTTGAGTATTCAGCTCTCGCCGATGCGGTTCATATTTTCTAGTCTTGATAAATTAAAAGAAATTTAACTGATTAGGACAGCCCACCGCCTATCTGCGAGTAAAGAAGAGGCCTACTCCAAAGACAATCCTGTTTAAGATATAAATTGCTTTGCACGACTGAAGAGCTGAAGGTCAGGGGATCGGCTAACGATGATGCTAACAGGTGTCTTCAGGAGGCCCCGAGTCTGGTGATAGGGTCGCCCCCGGTAAATTTTTTTTTTTAGGTGGTTTTCCTCCCGCATCCTAGGCGGTTGCCCTGGCTTAGTATTTCTTCACTATTTTTGAGTCCTTCAGGAAGTCTGCAAGAACATTGAAGACTGAAACATTTATCTATTTTTAAAATTTACAAATTTCTTACTTTAATAATAAAATAGAAACCTTAAGTTTCATAATATCCCTCTTTAAAGCACTTCACTTCCAGCAAACATTGACAGAAGTATTGGTTTTGGCCTAGAAGTTTGTAATAATAGGATCTTTATCATAGACGTATTTTATCATTATTTACAGGATCTCTTTAGACAGCTTAAATTCTAATTTTCTTTTAATAATTAAAAGTCTAAGTATGAACTCAAATATGTGATTTAACTCTAATCTCCAGATTAAGTGGTTCAAGGCCTATGAAGGACCCGTCCTTAACGTGCCCATGTTAAAGAACAGATAAATCCATCCACGCTCGAGGAGAGCAAGCACACGCAAAGGCGCTTAAAATAAGATTAGCAATACGCATGCCATTGTGACCTGTTCTGTCCGTTTTGTAACAAAGTTCGTTCTATAATGGTTTGCTCATATTCTTCTCTTCTGGGGGACTCAGAAGTTTATCTGTATAATAATCTTCTGGCTCATTATCTGAAATCCTCTTCCAAGTGCTAGTGTATGCAATCTTAAAGCAAATTGAGTAAACATGCATATGTAAAACTTTTTTTCTGATATACGCTTTTTTACTTAACGGGCAAACATCATAAACGAAAATGCTTAAACCTCTAAGTTTTAATATACGAGTAGTTTTACTTCCACTGGGGTTGTTAGGAAAGGTTACTGCTACTCAAGAGAGCACTCACACAATTTTTGTTTTTAGAATAAATTTGGAGACTACGGCCTCGAACACTCAGGATTGTTTTAGTAGGAGAAGAGCAAGTTACACAATTTATGTATCAAATTAAGCTTTATTGTACTTGATGATAAGATGAACCCCTATATGCAAAGTAAGAGCGTTTCTGTTTTTATAACAGGGTAGCAGGCCTTAAAATCTACACGTTTTCCCCATTTTCTTGTTTAAAAATATTTTTATCAGCTACTTCCACCTCCTTAAGGTAGGTAATTCCTTTGTTTTTAAACCTTTTCAATAAATAAACTAACGATCCTCTTTTAAATAGTATAAAACCGAGTACCTTGAAAGGGTTAGGGGACTAATCCCTTCCAGCCATTTCACTCCTCTTTTATTGCGCGGAATTAGGAACTTTCGAGTTAAGAGGGGCTTGCGCCCTCTTTTCTGCATTGCTTCCGTCACACAGGGCGGAACTTTGAATTTCTGCTAGATGTCGAAACTGAGAGTGTATAATATAGGCATAAAGTATTTCACCAACTTACAAATTTCCGTTTACAGGGAAAGTATCGGCGGGGGTCAAGTGACTTATCCCCAATAATGCCAGATATCGAGTTGAACTGCAAAACTTTCAGAAACTCTAAAATTTCGGTGAAAGGCGAGTGGAGAGAGTAAGGTACTACCTAAACAGTGAAGGATTAGGTAATTCAGTACAAGAGTAAGAAAGCCAGAGCGTATCTTTTTACAGGCCTCCGCTACAGGAAGCACAATCACGAGTGTTAGTGTAATGAAAGACACCAACTTTGCTATAAGGAGACTGCCACCGCCCTACACTTTTCTAGTACATACGAATAAAAGAGGATGCTGCACAGTAGCCTTTCGGGAAGAAAAGGCCAAAAACGCCGTTGGGAGGATTCCGATGGTCGGCCACTCCTCGTTTAGCTTATACAAACTGTATACGACCTTATTATTCGTATAGCGGGAACTACAAGACGGTTTTACAGAGAAGAGGTCAACGATTGCTTGGGGACTGCAGAGACAAAAGTGGCGTCGGCGTTCATAGTGAAAACCGAAGGCAAGCCACCCACTACTTCTATCAACCTATACTTTTCAGGAGTCACTTTTATCTGAAGGAAGAAAATTAAAAAAGGAGGGCTTAAAACGAATCTCTGGAATTTTACTAAGACTTCAAGGGAGACGGCGACGTCGACAAGAAGCTCTTCTTTTCCAAGAGAATCAACGCCTTTACATATGTACGTTATTAGGTTTTCAATTTTATCTAGAAAAAGGAGCTTGAGTGCAGTACCTATGACCACATTGTGATTAGGAAATGAATGAATTATTTTAAGCAGTTCTGCTGCGGCCTCTGTCTAATAAGCTAAGATAGTTTCAGTTTTTACGAGCAAAGACAAAATAAAGTCTTGTTCTTATAATTTTCTAACAAGTAATTAATTTTAAGTAGTACTCTTTTTGGAAATTGGAATTTGGGGTGACAATAAGTATTGTCAAGGTAAATATGATCAATGATTTTATTTTGAAGCAAGTTCACATCTAATATCCCACTCTCATACCTTTAAAGAAAAGATTATTAAAAAAAAACCAATTGGCTTGAGTATGAAACCTAAAGTCTCCTGTGTACAGCACCGTACCAAAATAAGCTTCTAATAAAAACATAAGAGAGCCAGGGCAGTGGTTAGCATCTATTGCCTATGTCATATTTTGAGCGAAAAATAATAGTAAAATACTAGAGTGCACGTACAGTGACACTTAGTTTTTCTTTATCAAAGTCATCTAAGCTAACGCTTCTTGTCTCACCAGGGTTTATAGTTATCTAAAAGTTTAGAAAGGTAGTCAAAACTAATTAACAACAGAGCGGGAGTATGACGACCACTAACGAAGGGTCGAGTTGGTATCTTTCAAGTAAAAGTCGACGTGTAGTTGAAGAACAATATATAGACCCATAGCGAAAGGAGGGTCTTAGTCCTTCACTGTGATCTTAGGTTATGCAAACAAAAAATAAGTTATTAAAACTCTCCTATTGTGTTTTTCTATAAAACAAGTTTTGAGGCGATTTATCATGTTTTTGAGTTTACGAGAGCCCCTAACATAAAGTGAAAGGAGAACCTGAATGAAGATGTGAAAGAAAATATATGTTCACGCCGGGCGAATATTTCCAGTGATCCAAAGAAATAGGTGTACTTGGAATAACAAAGCCCACCATTGCCTGCCATAAATGAACCTTCCAGATTTCAGAGCGCACTAAACGCCTTTCTTGTTCTTTGAATTTACTATGTTGATGCCTTAGTTACCACGCATTATTTTTAAAGCCCCGCTATCATGAGACAAATAAGTTTTAACCCCTGAGGTATCAAGAAATGCTTAAAAAGGAAGACTAAGATTATAAACCTCATCAATATTTTGTAATATTACATCTTAGCAAAATGGGTAGCCACTAATTAAGATGACACTTGCCTTAGTAACCAATTATGAAACAAAATTGAAGTTTCTCTTCATTGTGTAATACTTCTGAGGGTTCCTTAACCGAGGCAACTGCAATACGTTTACGAAGAGTGAGCAGTAAATGACCTGGTACTTTTTTCGGGCCCTGAAGTATTCTAGCAGTGCTAAAAATTGTCAGTTAAATTGATTTTTACTTCTTCCACTCAGCAATACTAATCATATGTTTATTTTTTTATACGTTCTTGAAGTTAGTAGTCTAGAATAAACTTTATTTATAACGAAGAGGTTGGTCAACATGAAAAATTTAGTTTTCTAATAGTTAATAAGGCCACAACCTAAAATTTGTGATATAATAAAAACACAGAATCTAGAAGTCCGCTAAATGTTTTAATCACGGTATGAGTTTTATAGTTAAGGGTAGAAATATTTTTATATGTTTCGAATAGATAGCTTGGTTTGTAGGTAAACAAAATGGATATTTTTTTTTGTTTTTATGAAAGATAACCTGTCCAAATGCTAGCATTTTAAGGGTTTTAAAGTTATAAAATTGTTATTTAAATAGGTAATAAAATATAAACTACTACCAAGAAAATAGCCTTTTATTAGCTAAAATTTTCAAGGGTTTTTATTTTTATACTTAAAACTATAATTGATGTATTGATATTGACACGTGCTACTAATATACCTTTCGTAGTAGGCATCTTTTTAAGTTAATAAACTCACATTACTCGCAATGTTTTAATTTACAAATTTTTTAATAGATATTACTTTAATTTAAGTAGAGGACATTAACGGAGTACTAGGAATAACGTGTGGGTGGATTTAATTAAACATTCTAGTTTTTCTAAATTTTTTCAATACATTTTTAAAAAGCATTCACTGCATTTTAAAAGTATTAATGCATTCATTCTTTAAAATTTTTTTATATAGGTAATTAGTAATAATCCTTTTTTTTTTAATGGAGAACCTACATTTCTTCATAGTTATAAATCTTCTTTTATAGCTGTAAATTTTCGAAATTTTTTATTTTTATGACCTAAGAACAAAACTTAATTGGTATAATTGCTTAATTATATATATATTGCATCTTTAACACCTATATATAGCCGCGCTCTTTAAAAGAATGCCACGACACAAATGACACCGTTAAGAAATAAGACTTTTAATTAGTGGTAGCCGGGGGATCAGCAAAAAGGGTTAAGTTTTTATTGGTAAAGCCTAAGGAAAAGTCCTTTTAGCAACGTAACTTAAAACTGTATCTACTTTACCTCGTTACCCGTGTGAGACTCATTTAGTTAATAATCCGCAAGAGGCATTGAGATTATAACACGTAATACTGTGACTGCATTCGGGACCATTAAAAATATCAAAACTACCGTTTTAAAGTTTTTAGTGAGCCTTCCCCCAATTACTTCAGGGCTGCAAAACCTTCTTTTCTACTTTTGACAAAACCATTACCTATATAGATAATTTCTATTATCCTTGAGGGGGTAGTATACTATGTAAAAGTCTAAAAATTATTTAATTCACTAAGGAGTAATTTGCAAACAAAAGACATTTCTAATATTAGATTAATAAGGCTCTTACGAAAACTAGCGCTTAAAGTACATTTTAGGCTGCGATAACTTGCCCCGTTTCACGGCTCGTATTGAGTTCGCTCGCCTGGAGACGTGATCAAGAGTGCTGCCTGGAACTAGAATTATTGTGACAAAAACATTTATTGGATACTTGCCCTGGTTAAAATTCTAGTTATAAGTAAATACGTACGGCCCATGTATTACAAGTGATAGACTGAATCTTTTTTTTTAAGAGCGCAGTCCCTAATGCCAAAAGCATATTAATTGTGTAAAGGTATAATATTATTATAAAAATGCCAATTTTTGTTTCTCACGAATGTACGTAATGTGAGGGTACCATCTGAGCACATATCACTAATTAACTACTTTACTAAAGGGGTTGGCGTGCCCCTCCCCTCCCCTTTTTTTTTACTTTTTGAAACTGTGTTGTGCGCTTGTGCTCCCAAGCAGCTTAAAATTATCAAATTATTAGTTATTTCGTACAGTGATAAATTTATATTATAAACATTTGTTTTTCTATTTTATATAGTTCATAAAACCTTAAGCCTGCAAAATCAACACAGGAAAATTTTTTTTGAGCGTTTCAAGAACGACTTAACCAGCAACCTATTAAAGAATTAAGTTTTCTGGTATATCTACTTGTTTGTCTGTGTACCCCTCTATATTTTAGTAAAACGGCGTTAATATTATTCACAACCGAAAATATGCCCACCAGATTCTTTAAAATTGATCTTTTTAAAATGTTAGTGAGAAAAAAGATTGCAGAGGAAGGCCACGCTCCATTAATCTTAAATGGTTTTATTTTCAGTATATCGAAACTTCGGTTAATTTATTTTAAGAAAAATCTTTCATCACAAGGGTTTTAACGTTTTAATTTTTTCAGTAAACCAATCAGTAGTCCGCTCATTGTTATAGACAAAACTTTAGATACTAAAACGTGAGGGTTACGGTGCTTTCCAAATTATTTTAATTGGCGCCAATAATATGCGTCGGTCGGCCACAAAGGCGGTATCAAATCCCTCAGAAACTTCTGCCACATTATGCAAACCAACAATACCAGCACACACACAAAGGTTGACACAGAAAAGTTGATCTTCGTAATGCTAAACCTCTTTATTTAATCACGTTTTTCAAAGCATCTTTAACATCCCCCAATATTCCTTGCGCCTACAATGTGAAAAATAATTGCTTCGATTAAAATTCTACTTTTTTCATTATAGCCATTCTTAATATCCCGGAGTATATTCAAAATAATTTTATGAACGCGTGCCCTTCATAATGAGCACGGGCAAATCCTTTAATCCTGGAGTGGTAACATGGAAATGTAGAACTTGAACGATAACATCAGATCCTTTGGACCTTATCGAAATTTTTAATAATATTTCATTATTTCAGTATTATAAGTGGTATCAACTGTCAAGCAAACCTTTTAAAACCCTATAAAAAGGTATATAAGTAAAATTGGCACAACATATTTATAGAGAAAACTTGAAATTTCATCTAATATATAACTAAAACCTTTTTTGATTTTAATACCATTATAGCTTTCTTACAAACAAAAAAAAATAAACAAAAACTGCTTATTGAAATAAACAATACTCAATTAAATTCATTAGTACAATTCGGGCAAATAGCATTACGATGTTCAGCGCATATCGCTTATTTACAAATGACTCATCTCCCTCTACTTTTTCTGTCTTTGCAACTAGGACAAGTACATTTTCACCTAAATCATCTTTCGTTATACATATCAGTGATTTCGGAAGATTTGAGGTATACTATTATCCCCTTCGAATAAGCGGTTATACAAGCGGCGCTAAAGCCAAACTTTTTAAAAATTGCGTCGTGGTATGAATTTGATATTTGGTTTTATTTCAAGAGTAAGAGTATTTTCTCTTAAAATTGTGTAAGTGTTTATGTCGGCTCCATCAATCACACCTTAAAATAAACTCAGCGGCCAAGAACTCGTTTTTCTCGCAGTGGTCTTTGTACGACAAAGTTGACCATATGTATCCATCCCCTCCTATAGTGATTGTATAAAAAAAATAAAACAACTTCCGGTATTTGCTACTGTTCCTTCGTTATGCTCTTTCTTAATAGAGGTACTACATTCTTTTTCTTTTATAAAGAAAACGAAACTTTATTGCGATCATAGGCACAATTTAAAACTGACTGTCGAGGTTTGCTTATCAAAAAGTTTAAGGTATAACCGGTTTGTTTTTTTAAAATAATCCCCATTATAGGGTTTTTATCAAAAAAATATTTTCTAACAGCTGGAAAAACAGAACCAGGAGCCCACGGTCACATTACTATACGGGCCATACAACGACTCACATTATTTGAGAACACATCGTGGCGTTGACTTTGGACTGCTAAACGTAGTTTTATTTTTTTTGTCCCCTTGTAGTTTTTGACACAAATAACACTGGTATTTATTACTTTCGTTAACATCATTATTTCTATTTTTAAGTTGTTCTCCAGCCTCTTTTCGTCTCCAAGTTCGAAACCGTCAGCTTCGCTATTGATTCCAACAAACCCATCTGCCTCGTCACATGCTTTTGGATAACGGCGTCTTCACTACCTTTATCTTCAATTTCCATTTTCAGGTTTTTATCTTCCAAGTCAGTCTCACCTTCATCGTGCTTACATGCTAGCCCTTCTGGTTCAAGTGCTGTTAAAGTATTTTCCTATTGCTAAAATGAGTATAACACTAACAGTATCATCGGATCAAACTTAAATCATCACTAGTAACTCACCTTCAGTTTAAAAAAAAATAGTTCGCAGCAAGAAGTCACCAACAGTAGTTATGAAGCTACTGAAGTGCACGTGCTGAAGCGGCCATTTTATCACTTGAAACAGCGCATGCGACTTACTCTTGGAGCGTTCGCGGCCCAGTGTTACCGTTGTAAGATTAATATAGTGAATTTGGCTTATAATAAATCAAATAGAAAAAGCTTAATTTTCGAGTTTTGATTTTTATAAACTGTACTTTGTTATATTAAATCTTAGCAATTCATTCTAGAGCTTAAAAAATGAGTAAAGTGCCTGAAGACATAAAGACAAAGTTAGAGGCAGTTAAACAGAATGACGGTCCAAAACTGTTATTGACAGCTTTTTTTTTCTTTTTCGCCGTTTACAGCCGCAAAAACCATATTGTAGACGCCGCTGGTGGCATTGTCTGACGCTATAAAATTTTTTTGGTTATGTCGTGCGAGTTTTACTCAAGCAATGTTTACAACTATCCAGGCAGCGCGAAGGTAACGCGCAGGATCATGAAAGCAACTTTAATTAAGAACTTGCATAGTCAGACAATTAGTAAAGTAACATGCAGAAAAAATGATTAATTTTAATTTTATCGTCGTGTATACTTAAAGACCAGATTTATTTTTAGATTTGACGAAACTCTTCAGGAAGAACTCGCCTGCCTTATAGGACGACCTTACCAATGGGCCTATAGGAAGTGAAGTAAGTATTTGTGCTGCTGCTACAGTAAGAAGAAGACCAGAGGCAACATAAGCAAATCCCAAAGCGCTTCCAAACTCTTCCCAGTACTTGAACTTGCAGGGAGAGACATATTCCTGTACCTTTTGAAAAGATGAAACAAAGTCACAGCCAGAAGAATTGCTCCAGCGCATCCATCAGTAGACCTTCATGTGCCGTCTTGTTGGTCTCATATATTGCCCAATGGTAACTGCATCCACCCCGACGTTACTCAGGTCTATAACGTGTTAACAACGAAAGCAAAGAAAGAAAAAATAATCAGCGAAAACCCCGTAGAGTGGCTTCAATTTCACCATCAGCTTCTCCCAGCCCCAGCATTATCGAAGACTTCGTAACGAGGTCTGCATTACAGAGTTTTACTTCCTCAAGAACTTTAAGCGACTGCCTGTAAGAAGCCCGGTGATCTCTAACTAAAGGCGAGAGCCGCTAAAGTTAAGAGAACACTAGGAGTAAACCGCCTACTGATAGAAATAGCGCTCTGTACATTTAAAAAAAGTTAACCTCCACAGTTTCCACATTATGAGCAAAGACTTCCAGGCCGGAGTCGGCCACCTTTCTTATGTGTTCGAAGTTTCCTTTGAAGTCTGGACTGAGGCACTCAACCAAAAGATTAGGACTTCTATTTTTAGTTAACGCTAGTTGTGTTAAAAAGTAGAGGAAACGTAAAAAAGATAATACTTAGATTTGATGGCCTTTACGACCTCTCTTAGGTGGGATGAGCCGCCATCAGGGAGATCTGCAGAGAGTGACATTAGAAGAGAAAAGGGGCGGGCTACCTGCGCTGCAAGAGAAACGAACCGTCTCTATCAACCGAAGTGATGACAACATAGTCCAGGCCCCAGCGGCTCAAGGCTTCAGCGGTTCTCGAGGGCTCCAAAGGGTCCAAAGGCGGCGGAGCTCGGCTGGTTCGCACCGAGCAGAAACGGCAGCCTCGGGTGCACGTATCTCCCATGACCTATTTCACCAATAGTGAACATCACGAGCGCCGGCAATCCGCGAAGAAAGGCAATAAACACGCGCCATTATAGTTGCAGTTGCCAAGCCGCCGCTTCTACCGCCCCAACACTCTCCAATGTTGGGGCATTTCGCCTCTTCACAGACGGTGGACAGCTTCAGTTCTTTTAAAGTGGACTTCAGCTCAAAGTACTTCCGGCCAATGGGGACAGAGGTCTTCAGCCAGTCAGGTAGGGGAGCTCCATCGCTATTAGAAGGTATTAAAGAGGGCTAAACACCCAAAAATAAAACCAAAGGTAAACCAAAACGGCAGCATTAGAATGAGAAAAGGTTTTCAAGAGACTTTTCTAACTACTTAAAAAAAGATAAATTTATAATTCTTTATCCTACAATAAAAAGACGGTCGAAACTACTAAAAGCTGAAATAGAATTTAAGACCTTTTTGGTGCTTATCATACATTTTATAAAGAGAAGGGGAAGATACCGACTTCGTTGACTTGATCTAGAGCTTTAGCTCTAGATCAAGTCAACGAATTTTGCCTAGGTTGTAGTATATTACAACTACTAAGTTTAATACAAACCCCTGACGTTGTTGAAATACAGCGTTGGGGGTTTTTAGGTTAATAAATTTACAATCTTATTTATTAGTCTAAGTCATTCAGAAACAGTTAAAAGTTTTTAAAACTTAGTCGATGGCCATTATTATGCAGAGTTCCCTAGTTTAACTTAACTGAATTACTAGAATATTTACTAAGTTCTGTAGTTAACAAGAATAAATACTTCAAAGACACCATATTATAGTAAAAATAGAAAAGAATTACATAAAGAAACTTAATAAAGACGAGGAAGTTAAATAAAGTTATTATAGCAGGTAATAGCGGACAACCTACAATATTACATAACAGTAAAGAATCACCTATTATATTACAAAACAAATAAAGCTTAAAATTAAAAAAATTAGGGTAGAAAGATGGAACACGGGGGGTCTACAAGAGTTATATTTAAAAGATAACATAACGGGGAACCAAAACTTAAAGTGAGATATTCACACGATTACAAGAAAGTTGGGTTTAGTTTACAAATACAGAAGTTCACCAAAATTTCTGAAAGTTAAGAGGGGAGAAAAATAGAAAAAGCATTATCATACTTAGAAGAATTCAAGACGGCTGTGCCAGAGAGGAAGTGTTGTAACCCAGGGCCAGCCTTTATAAACTCCTTCAGTCCTCGGCAAAACGTTGTGCCGGACCAATGTTGACATCTTGTCAAAATCTTCATTATTTTCAATTATTAAAGTTTAATGCCAGCATAGGAAAAAAAAACTTAAATTATTAAATTTAAGCCAAAGAGTAATACAAGAAAGGATGGAGGTAAACTGAAAACTCTTCAACAGCCAAATGGCTTGGCTGACAGTAAAAGTCCCAAGGAGGGCTTGGAGGGTATGAGCCCGTGGTGTTGGTTTTTTACTGACGCTAGGCCAGATGGCGGAAGCTCGGTCGAAGAGAACAATGCACAAATCGCATTGCAGCAACGCATTGAATCAATTATGGGGAACGTCAGTGCGTTTGTAGACAGGTTTCACATTTGCCGGTCTCGTGTGAAAAGACAGATTCATCCAGCACTACGCCCTTTAAGTTTTTATCACCGACTGGTAAATAAGGTAATTTCGCCACTACATATAAGGTATTTATTAAGTTATGATAAACATTTTTTGAAAAGGTCTGAGATTAACCCACAGGTACCTTCTGAAAAAAAATTATACCATTCTCAGCTGGTACCAACCTTCAAATGATACGTGTCAAAATTTGATGGATTTTCGTCCACTAGTTACCGAGATATTGAAATTTTAATGTTATCGACGAATTACGTGTTTTGTTTAAGCACTGTCTCCTGAAGAGAAAAAGGCCTTCCAGATCAGCACTGACTTGAAAAGTGTTATATGGAATCTGATCCGTTGAAAACAACGATTTATCGGTGGTATGATAAGTTAAACGACGCTGAACGCCCTGGACGCCCAGAATAAGTCAATTACTCCGAAAAACATCAAAATTTCCACAAAGATGTGGTTGGTGACCTTAAAGTGAAGTTGCATGAGTTAGCCGATATCGCAAAGATACCAATGGAACGTGGGCGTGAGAAAGCTCTGTCCAAATGAGCACCGTGTTTGAACAAAAACAACAACGTATTGTTTATTGGAATGCTGTTAGGAGCTGTTTAAGCTAAATAAAATGGATTTTTAATGCGACATATAATGCTGGATGAATCCTGGATCCATTGCTACACTCCGAAGTCAAATTGGCAGTCAGTTGTGTGGAAAGCAATGGGTGAAAGCCACTTAAAGCCATTAAAGGCGCCACAGTCTGAAAGAAAAGGTTATGACCTCTGTATTTTGGGATGCGCAAGGTATACTTATCGGCTACCTTAAAAAAGGAAAAACCATAAGAGCGAATACTATATAGCACAATTAGTTCGATTGAAGGAAGTAATTACGAAAACAGCCCAAATGGCGAAAAAAAAGTGCTCCATTATCAAAACAATGCACCGTGTCACAAGATGGTTACGATGCCAAAAGTCCATAAACTGAAGTCCGGTTTAATTCCGCACCCACCGTACTCCCCTAGATTTGGTTTCCGGCGGCTGTTATCTCCGCAGACCTCAAATAACTGTTCCAGGGAAAGAGCTTTGGTCAAACGAAAAAGCCAACGCCAAAACAGAGACCTATTTTGAAGGCAAAGACAAATTGTTTTATAAAAAAGGTGTATGACGGAAATGTGCTGGACTTACTATATTGACCTTAACGGGACTATATTGAAATATAATGTTAAATTTTGCAAAAATAGTTGTTTAATTAGTTGTCCCGGGACACTTCAGGCGGTGGATTAAGTAACAAGCTTAGGGCTATATCGAGTTCTCTATTAAAAGTAATGCATATATATATTCCGGTATAGTCGCAGTTTAATCCTAATTTTCAAAGGGATGAGAAAATACGTGACAGTCACGCGTTATAACCCACATGCGCTATTTTAACGAAACCAAAATAGCCCACACGAAAATTTCTTCCAAAATGCAGCTGCTACTACTTATGATGCGGTAACACGCAAACCACTACACAGAATATATGTGGGCCTGGAAAAATGCGCACCGTCACTGATCTTCTATTGCCTTTATACATACTTAGTGTCAAGCAGCTATCGCATTAGAATGGCGAGCAATCGCAAAAGTTATTATTAAAAAATATATACTTCGCAGTAGGCTATATGTTTTATATTAGAGTATAGGTGGTTAAAGTTCTCAAGCTCCCACAACGAACATAGATACGCAAAAATAAACATTTCTGAAATAATTAAGAAACGGTTGATATAGAAGTAATTTTAAATAAAAGATTATCTTTATAATTTAAAACCCCGAACAGTGAAAAAATAGACAGTTTTTCATTTTAAGCGTTGTAAGTATTAATGTAACTCGCTTTTAATTATAAAAAGGCTGGGTCTTGTTGTAGCTATCCTTTAGCCAAATTTTTATACCTCTATTGTAAAGCTACGTTCTTTATAATGCTGAAACTGGGATAGTAAGTTAACAAACATCTTATAATGGTTACAGTCCAACGCAAAATATTGATTTAAAGCGGTTGTGGTAAAAAATAAATCGGGGAACTTCCACTATTTAGCAAATTCAAACTTATTACCTTTTAATTCAATTTTAATCTCAATGGGTATATATATTTTTTCCCCACAGGTAAGTACTAAGTAATGAAGTTTGACACTTTATAATAGAACCATTCTATTATAAACCAATTTAAGCCAGTCATTTATGTTCATAAATGATATTTGCTAGAAGCTTATAGTAAGAATTCCTTACTCTGGTAGCTTGGAACTCCTTTGCTGGTCTTTTTAATTAAGGTTGTTTGCAATGCTCTTAAAACCATTTTATAGAAAATTCAAACCCGTGGCCACGATAAAAAATTAATTGGAAGTTTGACGTTTATCGTTGCTAGGATTAGATCATTAATCCAGTTGGTTTAAGTAATTAGACTAATAATAAAAATGGTATCTATTGAATAAATGGGCATTTTTAACGCCTTAATTCCTATTTATGTATCTGTAAACAAAATCACCAGCTAGTGTTAAGAGATAGTATAATAAAATTGTTAAGTCGAGAATAAACCTTAACTTGTATAATAAGTAATTAAGCTATACCCGCTCCACTACAAAAGGCACATTACAAATAAAATAATTGCGCCATCTTATACAAAATTATTTTTTGCATACGTTAAATTTGTAACATTTAGTACTCTCTTAAGTATTAAGCGAGAGTGTTTTAATTCTTATTTATAATAGTGGGGAACAATATTAACAGTTGGGCTTATTACCCAGGAAGTAATGTACATACGAGTTAAAAAACAGAATTACAGCATATAGTTGTAATTAAATTCTATTCGTTGTCAAAACTACATATTTTACAAATCTATTTAAATAATTGACCTTAATTCTTTTATAAAGTGCTTAAATTGGGAGAGATACTAATAAGGTAAAGGTTTCCAAAGCTATATTTAAATAACAATTCTTTCTCCGTTATCTATGATAGTGAAATTAAATTAAGAATTTTTTCCGAATTTGGCCGGTGAGATGAAAGCTTAAAAGCAGAAGCAGCCAATGATGAAGCTGAACAGAAAAAAAGTTTTAGGTTTATGAAATACGCAGAAACTTAAAAGATTAATATCAAAATTGAAAATTATTATTCTAGTAATAGTGTATTTAAATTTTGAATGCCGAGAAATATAAGTGTTTTAGACTCACTACCAGCACCCCTAAAGAAGAAAAAATTTAGCAAACAGTCAATAGCTTATCAAACAAACAATACCAAGCAAAGGGGCTTCTTGAGTAAAAGCATCTACCGAGTGCACTTCTCTCAACCTTAAGCATACACCCTATCAGACATATTTTGGATAAAAATAATTATATATCCGGGATGTCCTAGGCAATCACGGCAATTCAGAAAAAGCAAAGCAAGAAGTATTTTTTTTAAAGTAAGGTGTTAAAAATAGCCAGGACCCTCTTACACAAGTCACAAACAAATCGTTAGGGAAGCGCGATTTCCTCACTCTTCCCTGCACGTCAATGCTAAATGCTTTCCTTGGAAAGGTTAATTTTTATAAGCAATTCAAATTATATTAATACAACCTTATCCCAAGTCGCGCTGCTAATATTTCGCTACAACATGCCTAAAATTGTTAAATAGGAGAGAAAATAATAAACCCATAAAAAGTGTTCAAGGAGGACTTCACTTTAACTTTAGAAAATTTCCTTGCCACAAAAGCATTTAGTAATACCGGACACGTAAAAAAAAAATTTACAATATTACAGAGATTATGCTTTAATTAAAAGAAGCTCCTGCTTTAATATCGCTAATACTATGTGTATGAGTGTATATATTCTTATAATATTAAAATTTCCTTGATTTAAGTAAGCATTGAAGACCAGCAATCCCGGACCTATAAAATTAAAGAAAGTTCTGAAGCTAAATAGTCTTAGAATATGTAGAGAAACCTAAAGAAATGGTTTAAAGGTTGAAAAAAATGAAATTTAAATAATTAACAAACTATTTTTTAACTCTAAAAATGCTGCAAGGGGGTTAAAAATAGTTTACAGATACGAAAAAAAAGTAATAAATTGCTGCAATGAAACATGTTTCGCTAAAGTAATACTTTTAAGATTATTATAAACGTTTCCACACCCCTTCAGATAACCGATCCCTATTTCTCTATTCTTTAAACCAATATTTAAAGTTTTCCATTTTCCATTCCACCTCCTAAATAATAGTGGCAGTAACTAATAATAGAAAATAATTCTTGTTAAATGCTAGAAAAAGTTAACACTAGTTTTTTCTCAAGAAAGATAAAGCCAACACTTAACAAAAATAAGTTTTGGCAGAAACTCGAAAAGTAAACATTTCTTGATAGATCACATCTGCATGTACTTCAAACACTTCAAGCTAAATTTATTTTTTAATTTATACAGTGTTAAATTTCTCATCACGCCTAAAAGTGGACGCCCACTCTAAGGGATCAGAAAATTACTCTTTGAACATACAGATAACGATGAGTTACACATCGGTATGTTAGAGAGCAGTAACTCTCAGTAGTTATTGTTTTATCATGAAATATTTTTAGCATACATCCTTTTATTAGACGTTTTAGTATTTTTTAGTTTAAGTCTCTTCTCCCTTTCTATTTAGACCAGTGACAGTGTTAATTTATTTTGCGACTCTTGACACCCTCCACAGATCATAACTATTGAAAACTCTTTAAAAATCCTTTTAAATTGCACGTGATATAGTATAATAGCCTTGAATGAACAGTGGA